CAGAATGCCCAGCAGCACTGCCACAAGTGTGAGGCTGTTGGGTAAGAGGCTGGCTTTTATAGATGGCTGAGGGCATGTGGGCAACTGCCTTGCCCACACCCAAGCAAAAATCGTCAGTGTTCCTGACCCTTTATCAAAGTCACTGGCCATGAGCTAGATACCTTGGTTTCCCCTTAGAGAAACCAAGGTTATCACTCCCCATGAGTATCCGACCGTTTTCCCAGGCCAAGTGCCCCTGGATATGGTTGTACCTTACCATTCACTGCTGTCAATTCAAAGTGAACAGGTGCAGTCCCATCAGCCTCCAGATTTCTGGGGCTGCACCTGTTCCGCCGCCTCGGCCACGTACGTGGCCGTTATATATTTTTTCCTTTCCTTTTCTCTTCTTTCCACCCCTTTTTCTTTTCCCTGGGCAGGCGGCAACTCGTTTTACGAAACGAGCAGCCTCCCCCACATAGTCATTTCACTGAGTCGAACTAGAGTCAAGCCTAGCAGGGTCTTCTTCCCCCCCTTTGCCACAACACGCGGCCGCACCCGACCGCCAACAGTATCAGGTTCGGGCGCTGTTGAGTGTTGCAGCCCGTTTCTTAAAACTAACGGGTGCAACACTCTGCACCACGACGAAAGGGTGAGGGGGATTTAACAAAAATCAAAGATTTTTTTTTTAAAGGAATCTAAAAAAAAAAAAAAAAAAAAAACTTACCTCGAAGTGAAAAGTCTGCCCGTCACCTTACAACATGGAAACCACCCGAGGCGCGAGCAGAGATAACTCAAGTACAAGGTCTTATCCCGCAGTAAGAACGTGGCCGCCTTATGGCAGCAGATTCGTTCGATTTCGCCCAACCTACAAGAGCAACCCGTTTATCGAAACGAACGGGTGTTTGGTAGAACCGAATAAGACAAAAATAAAAATAAAAATGAAATCTAAATAATTTATAATAAAAAATAAAATAAAATAAATCTAAGAAGAAAATCTAATAAAAATCTAAATAAAAAAAAAAAAAACACAAAAAAAAAACACTTACCTCAGCAGAAGAAAAACGGTCGCCCGTTTTCATGGACGACTATCATGTGCACTTGGGCTGAAACGCCCCAGTCACTTCCTAATGCGCCAAGTGGCGCTCCATCTTCAGTTTAGTTTTAACTTTTTTTTTTTTTTCCCTTTTATCCCGTTGGCCCTGCGAACGGTTACTTCACATCATGGTATACCCACGATCTGTTGAAGTACAGACCCAAGTTCGAGTCCTGATGGACTCAAAAATCAGTTGGGGCCATTTCTCGATTTATGCGTGTCATCCTTGAAAGGGGCCATTCTCGATCCGCGCGGCCCGATCTCGGTCGTGCGATCTTTGAGATTGCGGGGTCGAGATCGATCGCGCCACTTGGTTGCGACAGTGGCTGCTCCCAAAAGGAGCTATGCCCAGTAGGGCGCGGCGGTTCGATCCCGATACCTGCCGGGTGAGAGTCGAGTACTGTAACATACTGGGCTAGTGATAGGAGCAACTCCTCTATAAGAAGAGCTTGCCCAATTGCTATTTCCCCTGTCGGGGCCTTGCAGACTCTGTCTGCCTGAGGCTTTGCATGTCTCACCTGCTTGAGGTTCAACATGCCTCACTTACTGACCCTACCTTGTCGGTTAGCCACGTGACCACGGCTTAACTGGTCGTCTAATCGGGTAGGCCTCAGCATCGGCCTGTCGACCCCTTAGCTCGATGTTAAACCCCACGGCGCCAGGAAAAAAAAAAAAATTCATATTCCTCCCGCGTGAAGGCCCCATACCCGACGCATCCCTCTTTTTAGCCTACTTACGCCCTGAATTGCGCGACTGCTAAGCCGCGCGACCTTTTTTCGGTAGGATAGGTTTAACTTCGACATTCCCATGTTTGCGCGCTTCTACGGCTTCGACAAAAGCGAAGCACTGCCAGCTACTGCCGTTACTCTCGAACGCCACAGGCGTCCGAACTAAAGCTAAAAAAATTTTAGTCTCTCAGTCATAGGTCAGGTCTGAATAAACTTTTGGCAACACCAGTCTCATAAAGTCCTTCAATTCAACGAAAGAGTCGAACATCGTCCGATGTTTAAAATCCCTGGCAAATACCCTTGTCAGGGTATTTGCCCCGACCGCCCTGTTGCCACGTGGCCAGCGTTGGATGTGGAAAAGCAGACCAATCACAAGCAACCCTATCCACTTTGGCGATCTAGCAATCACTATCCCACCCCTTTACTCCACCATCCCACTTCTCGTTCCCCAACACACCCGGACAATCCATTCGACCTACCCAGTCGCCCTTTCATCCAGTCAACACCGAAAAAGCTTGAGAAGACAAGCAAGAGGGGAGGGAGAAGAGGGGGGAGGAAGGGGATGCCCAATCGCGCTTACCACAACGTCAATATTATTGTTATTATTGTTTTAGCAGTCTTGTGAGTAGTCGCCTCCGCAAACCTTATTGCCGTGATTTGAGACGATTCAGACGAAGCATTCGTTGCTGATGTCGATGATGGTAGAGATGTCCTTGACACTGCTGCAGATGCAAGCAGTGAAGTCGATGTGGTCGTGTTGATGGTCAATGAAATCAACGTTGGTGATGTTGTTGATGTGATTGACGCCGTTGCAGATGGTATCGTCGCATGCACTGTTGTTATGGTTGATGTCGTAACTAGGGTGATGACATATGAGTCTTTCTCTATCATAGCCAGTACACTACTCTTCGCAACGTAAGAGATTACATTAGGACTCTCGAGCTTCACTCGTCCCCTTTGAAGTTCGTAGCATCAAACTGTCGACTTGAACACGGTCATCCTTGTACGCCCTGATAATATCATCCTTCACCTTTTTCGGAAGAAACCTGGCTGCTTCTCGAAAGATGACTGTGACCGTGTGCTCCTTTAGCCACACGACCTTGGTGCCATCGATGTTCTGGTTCACCTTGAAATGTGCTTCCCTTCAGTCAACTCTCCTTGAAATATGCTTCCCTTCCCTCAACTCTTATCTCCCTTGGATCTACATCCGAAGATAGACAACGACCTTTCATCTTCCTCCATCGGTCCCGTAAAAGAGGCTGCTGCCTGCAACGACAATCACGGCACTCAAGAGCAAAGGACGACAGAAAATCTTCAAGCATCTAAGAACGCATGAGTAGGGTTCAGTGTAAGAAGCACCTACCCAGGATCTGCAGCGGCGGCACTAGAAGGAGCAGATACCGGCCCGTTGGCATCTGAGGCAACAAGAGGGCTAGCAGTTGGCACGGCGAAGTAATGTGTTGAAGGTTGAAGGCCTGGGAACCCCCCGGAACCAGGAAGGCATTTGAAGGTACCCTAGTAGCAGGCCCTTCCAAGCTGGCGCTGGCCTGGTAAAGGCCTGGACTGACTGGCGTGCCCAATTGAGCAGGAACCCGGAAAGCGTTTGAAGGTACCCCAGTAGCAGGCCCTTCCAAACTGGCGCTGGTTCGGCGGAGGCCTCTCGGACTGAATGGCCTGCCAGAATGGCCAGGAGAAAAATGGGCCACGGAGGAATCACCACGGGCCTACGGTAAATCGACGGGACCGCGCCGCTACGGATGGTATCGAAGCTCCACCGAAGAGTCGGGTATTTCTACCGGTAGAGAGTCTTTTCATTTCTCGGATTTTTGCTGAGGCAGCCGCGAACGCTTGGATCGTCCTACCTGCAAGGGTGGAGAGTTAGTGAGACCTTCAGATTGGCTTCGCGTTCACAGTGTGAAAATCCGGCCCGCCCGTGCCCTCGGTGCATTGGTGGGATGGCCCCTGATTTTCCATTTGCTGTGAAGTTTTCACCTACTCTTTGCCTAAGATCTCTGAACTTGGCCAATTGATATGTAAATCAGTTTGATGATTTGGTTATCTGCAAGTCAACTTGTTTGTGTCCATCTTTCCCCCCTGCGAGTGATGATTGTTTGTTGAGCAGGTACCCCTTTGTACATGACCCCCTCTGACTACCCGGACTGGAAAGATGCACCCCGAAACTACCTAGATGTAGAAGTACATCACCAAACCATATCGAAGCTTGCTCATCTAAGATCCGTTAGCGATTAAAAAAATCTAGGCCGCTGCGGATGAAATCGCTGTGGAACGCATTAAAGACTAGCCGGAAAGAAGATACAAGGCCTGGTATGAAAGGAAAATACGAAAAAGTAAATGAGATGAGTATTTCTACAGCGTTCAAGTTCTCGGCCGATCACTGGTGACATTCGTACTACCCCGAGCGAGCTCGTGATGGAGCTGTAGTAATGCACAACCCGCTAATCGAGCAGGACAAGAAAAGGTGCACTAAGAGTAATTACCTCGCTGTCCTTGGTTATGGTCAGGTTACACGGCGGATCGCTCTTGGCGTCTTCAACTCCCGCGAGCGAGCGAGCGAGCTCGCGGGCGATGACCTATCGGCGAAGCGATGGTGACGACGCCTACACCCATGGAGGTGCTATCGTGATGGTAGACACCTCCGTGATGGTAGCGTCCGCTTGGTCCGAGCGCAGCGTAGCGCCGGCGGAAGCGGTCCGGCCTGATGCCCCTTTCAGCATCTCCTGCTTTTGCCTCCGCGTGGTACCCCTTTTCTTTTCGGTGGCGCACGACTGGCACCAAAAAAGCAGGCCGACGCTGCTGCGCCAGAAACCCAACGGTGAGAAAAAAAAAAATAGCGAGGCCACGTGAGGCCAACGGGCCCGATCAGTTGGTACACCTATGGCCGTACGAGGCCTACCAGTAGCGCCCTTCGTGACCTCGGCCGGTACTGCCCTACCGCCGTACGCCTCACTCGACCTGCCCGATCCTCCGGCGCAACCTAGTGCCCTTCACGGCTTGTGTTACACGATCTACCTACCGTAGCCGCTACAGTAGTGATCTCTCTCTCTCTCTCTCTCTTCTCTCTCTCTCTCACTCTCTCTATGTGGTACGTCAATCTGGTGCTTCGTGGTAGGTGTTTGGAGCTACGTGTTGCTACATGGTTCGTGCTCCGTGAACTGGTGCAGCGTGCTCTGGTGCTATGTGCTATGTGCTATGTGCTATGTGCAATGTGCAATGTGCTTCGTGAACCGTGAATTGTTGCTATGTGAATTGGTGCTACGGGAATTGGTGCAACGAGAATTGGTGCTACATGCGTTGGTACTACGTGCTGCATGCAACATGGTACGTCATCAGTGAACCGTGAATCCATGTGAATTTGTGCTACGTGCTATGGGCAATGTGCTACGTGCAATGTGCTACGAGCTTCGTGAACCATGAATTGGTGCTACGTGAATTGGTGCAACATGCTTGGAGCTGCGTGCTACGCGCTCTCGGTCCTCTCTCTCTCTCTCCTCTTAACTCTCTCCTCTCTCTCCTACGGGCTACACGAACTTGGTGCTTAGTGCTTCGTGCTACGTGAACTTCGACGTGGATTCCTGCTACGTGACCTTCAGGCTTTGTCTACTTTCGTGAACTTGGACGGTTGGGCCGAAGGCTTGCGCGGTGGTGGTTGGAGGCTGCGTCGACATGGCTGACTAAAGTGAGTTTGTTTCTCTCTCTTCTTCACCTCCACCCCATGCCCCCAGCACGCAAGACCTTCCCGCGCATGGCCGCGCTCTCCCACCTGCTCGCTGCTGCCCCACCACTCATTCGCTGCTCAGAGACCAGTGAACATTTTTCCTTTTTCTCCTCCCCTGTCGACCTTCAAGCTGCTTGTGTGTGTGTGTGTGTGTGTGTGTGTGTGTGTGTGTGTGTGTGTGTGTGGG